GGGAAAAGGGGAGGCAGAGGGGGGGGGGGGATGAGATTGAGCAAGTGTGGAATTTTTGAAGAGGATTTTATTTTAATACGAAATTTAAAGAAAATAAATATTTTTTAAAGAAATCCCCACTTACCCGCTACATCTCATCCAAGGGTGATTGGCTTGTGGAAAGGAGTTGGCGCCGCATGATTATTGTATAAATCAATGGAGATGGATTCAACTGTTATAATGTATTTTGATAACTTATTTTTTTTCTTCTAAATTTTCAGCCAGCTTTTTATGTCGGATTGGTTGCGCCCCTGGTAACTGAAAACCGGAAGTTATTTTTTTAACACGTTCTTAAAATTACTCACGCCTTTGCCTCTTAAAAAAGTGTGAATAAAAACACAAATTTTCCAAAAGGTAAATCGGGTATCGGACAAAAAACGGAAGCGTTTATACCTGTGTTTGTGACTCATGTTTACCTGGGTTGTTGTTTTTTTAATTGTTTATTTTTTAATAATTTTTTTGCGCGCTCACATTAAAACACTTACCGAAAATATGTGTGTGTGTGTCACGGCGCGGTGAAGTCAGGCGCTTGTCAATTTTTGGGTATATAGAGTTATTGGTAGGTCTATCATCTTAAAGCCTGTTCATCTGCCTTGCTTTAAAAGAAAAAAAAATGTCCATCTATGTTGAACTGACCTCAAAATATTTGCGATTAAAGGAGGTGGGGTCACTTTGTTTCAGAAGTAAAATTAGCGAAAAAATGGCCTCAAAGTTTGGTGAAAGAGTCCTTGGAAACTGCAAATTTACATTTTTTGTGCTTTTAATCAACGTTTTTCCATAAACTCCACAGATAAAAGAGTTTTTAAAATGAACGTACAAGGTGTTGATTTAAAAAAAAAAAGAAAGAAATTTCCAGACTGGCTGTAAAATGTCGATTTCTCGGATTTCATTATTTTGACGAGCGCCTTTTTTCTCCACGATGCCTCACATAATTATATGTATATATTATATATTTGTTGCTTTTTCCCCGCAGGCAAAGAGAGCTGTTTCGAGCGCATCGTGTCTCGGTTCGGCCGGAAGTGTACATACGTGGTGGTGGGGGACGGGAGGGATGAGGAGTCAGCCTCCAAACAGGTACACAACTCGGCTCTCTTGTCACAACTCTCTGTCTTTTAAATCTTCTTTTGTGGGTGGTTGGCGGGGGACGGGAGGGATGAGGAGTAAGCCTCCAAACAGGTACACAACTGGGCACTCTTGTCACAACTCTCCGTCTTTTACGTGGGTGGTTGGCGGGTGCTCTGGTGTGGTTTGCTTCTTCTTTCCTATCAAACATTTTTCGAGGGTAGTTGGCGGGTGCTCTGGTGTGGTTTGCTTCTTCTTTCCTGTCAAACATTTATCGTGGGTGGTTGATGGGTGCTCTGGTGGGGTTTGCTGCTTCTTCTTTCCTATCAAACATTTGTCGTGGGTGGTTGGCGGGTGCTCTGGTGTGGTTTGCTGCTTCTTCTTTCCTATCAAACATTTATCGTCTTTATCCCCCCTCCTTCTTTTTTGTGTTTGTTACTCTCTTGTAAAACTTCTAATCTTCGGCACTTACTTGTATACATATATGACCTTATTCTGTTGCAAGTGCCGTAAAACACTTACTAAAGCTAAAACCTTTTTCTTTTAAATCTTTTTGTTTGTTCTCCCGTGTCCTTAATTTTTTTCTCCCTTTCTAAAAATATCTTTATAAGTCTCTTATTTTTTGTAGCTTTTTGTTTGTTGTCTCCTGTCTTGATTAAGTGTCAAATATGTGTAAGTTGTTAATTACTAGAATGTGTTGCTGTAGTAGTTTCTGATAGAATGAGCTTGTTCAGAATAATAATATGAAAAGAGGCAAATATATTATTCTAAAATGACTACTTTAGTCGTATGTAGACTTAATGCGCACATGTTAAAGTCGTGTTAAGTTGTTTGATAAATTGTGGTATAAGAAACAATATGTGTGTGTGGAGAGAGAGAGAGAGGGAGAGAGAGAGACAGAGAGAGAGAGAGAGAAAGAGAGAGAGAGACAGACAGAGAGAGACAGAGAGAGAGGGGGAGCAGACAGAGAGAGAGACAGACACAGAGAGACAGAGACAGGCAGACAGACAGACACACACACACACACACACACACACACACACACAGACACACACAGAGAGAGAGAGAGAGAGAGAGAGAGAGAGAGAGAGAGAGACTTTCTCACTACCACCCTGAACTTAAATTATTACTATCACCCTGAACTTTAATTATTAACCCTTTTGTCCGTTGTCTTTGTCCCAGATGAACTGGCCGTTCTGGCGAATCTCCAACCATTCCGATCTGGCTGCTCTGCACCACGCCCTTGACCTCAGCTACCTCTAGGACACGCCCTACAGGACACACTCCCCGCCCTGAACCACGCCCACCTGTTGTGTGTGTTGTGTGTGGAATCTACGCCTACAAGCTCGACGGTTTGAGTGAAGCAGGAGAGACGGGAGAAGATGGAAGTGAGAATGAAAGAAAGGATAGCATTTCTGAGGCACAGGAACGAGGCGAGAAAGAACCAAGAAGCGTCTTTTGTTAACACTCTCTCTTTCTGCACCACGATTTTTGTCATCGTTGGTCAAAACGAAAGAAATGGCTCATTTCAGTGCATGGAAGAGTTAATAATGGAAACTGGATATTCGCACGGACAACAACAGCGCTGGGTTCGGGGTGGCATCTGTGTGGCTATGTTCTGATGTGCAGCGTCGTCCGAGAAATAAAGAGAAAGATACAGAAGGAGATAGGGTGTGTGTTGTTGTATGTGGGCTCAAACCAAGGAAGATTTCGTGTGCTTGGAGTTGGAGCACATTGATTAATTTACTGTGACTTTTTGGAATCGTCAGACAAGGTGTACACACGTTCTTTTGCCAAAGAGGGACGGATGTACGATTGATTCCTGGGTAGGAAAGAGGAAGGAAGGCAGATTTGTCCTTCTGTGTAACTCCTGATTGATGCTGTTTGTATTTTATTTTATTTTTTGTTTGTTATATTGTTGTTGTTATTTTAGTCTTATCTTCGGATGGCTCAACGCTGTCCTGTTTACATCATTCTCTACGATAGAAATATCTTTTGTCTAGGTGTGTGTGTGGGGGTGTGTTTGTGTGTGGGGGTGTGTGTGTGTGTGTGTGTCGAGGTTCAGTGCGAAAGTGGACGCCCACACCAACACAGCGAAGGTAAAAAAAAAACACGTCCTGACAAGAGAGAGAGAGAGAGAGAGAGAGAGAGAGAGAGAGAGAGAGAGAGAGAGAGAGAGAGAGAGTGTGTGTGTAGTCGTGATTCGCCACAGAGAACTTCACCAGGTGTTGTTCTTTCTCAGGGCTCCTCGCCCCTCGGTCTGCACTCCTAACAGTGGCTGTTTACGTCAGTTTCTGCAGTGTATAAGTCTACACCTTGGGGTGGTATTTTTTGTCTTGCAGTTTTACATTTTGTCACTGGATCACTCACATGTACGTGTGCCCCGAATTGGCTGGCCGAGAGACGTGTCCTTTTGGGTGGTCCAAAGAATCCCGAAATCCATCTATCAATGAGTCTACTTTTTCAGCCCGAATGCCTAAATTTTGGATGTCCTTCTTGTCCTTCTTGTGCTATCAGATAATCTATCTGCCTCTTTCTGTGGGATCCCACGTTTGGACATGGAGGTGCCTCGTTTGGTCCTATGGCGTCTTGGGCGATATCATGTGGGACGTGACCAAAGTGGTGAAGAACTTTGTCACTCGCTGGAGGGAGCAGACACGCGTATTTCGCCCGATTTGCAGCTTACTTCTCATAGGTTTTAAGATTCCAAATACTCAAGAACCTACTCGAAGGTTCCTGTGCTGTGCCCAGACCTTTCATTCGAGTCTGATTGTGTTGTTTCGAGTCAGCCAAGAATGGACCATTGTCTGTTGCCCGTTGAGTGTAACAGAACTGGATTCCGACACATCAGAGAACGAGAGGGGGGCTGTGTTACTCGTGTGTTTGCCTCTTCTGTGGTAGTTTGGCAAATCGGAACAAACAGCGAAGAAGGTGCACGTCGGGACTGGATTGACACGAACATCACTTATTTCGGGTCTTGTTGGATGGAAGTATGACCAAGCAACTCGTGGCTCGGTACATGTGTTAAGGGGAAAACCCTGTGGTTAAGAATCACGAAACGAATGTAACTGCTGAGTTTTCCTCTCATAGCCGGTTTGGACGACCGGAGGATTATTTTTCTCTGACAATACGTTCTGGTGACTCTATGGCTTTGAGCGATATACTTCTTTCTTGGTGATGGATGGATGTGTTGTTGGGTCGAGGACGATCCAGTTCCTGGTGAATGTGAGTGACATAGGATTCTGAGGTGAGGTGAGGTGAGGTGAGGTGAGGTGAGGTGAGGTGAGGGGCGAAGGGGGAACTGAGTAGACCATGATCACATGTGCGCACACACAGGACACGATGACGCTGCACACACCAACGACAGCCCCGTCACTTCTGAATGTACACAGTACCACGGCGCGTTGCGAGAACCAAAGGCCGGCCGCGGCGACAAAGTGACGCTACAGGCGAGGCAGTTGGCGAAGGCCTGAAAGGATTTCTTCACTACCAAAGATGAATTTTTACTGAGATCCGCCACGAAAGTGATGAATAAGGATACCCGTTGACAGAGAGCGGAGCTGGGAATGTGCTAGGAATATCCCTTCAAGGGAGTCACTTGTCTTTTCACTGAAGGAGGATGAGAGTCGTCATGACTGCAGTGTGAACGTTGTTCAATACGTCTTTATGACGTTTTTTGTACCTTTGACCTGCAAAACTGGTGTGTTGTGAAGAGTAAAACGTGTCAGCCACATCTCATATACATGTTACTGTATTTCAAGTGAAGACTTTAGACCCTGCGCCAATGGTTTTCACTTGTTTGTCCAATGACTGGCCTTTGATTCTGACATGCCGTGTTTCTGTGTGTGCCCTTTTTCTCATCACTTTGGGGGTGGGGGTGGAAAGGGGGGGGGGGCGTATGCGGGACTGGAAGCTTAGAGGCCCGCTGTTTGTATGTGTTTCTCATGTCTCTATATCATGTTTATAATTAATGTTACGATACATTTTTTTTAATTTCGAAGAAAATAGACAGATCACGTTTGCAAGTCATGTGAGTACAGTACTTCCATGGACTCAGTAGAAGTAAGTCAGTAATGGAGGTTCGTGGCGGACGGGGGAAAAGGGGTGGGGAGGGAGGGGAGGTGAGGGGTATAGTTTGTATCTACTTGTTCTCACTGCTAAAGGCCTATCTATCACGCCTTGCTTAGTGAGGGTAGACACTGCCTGTCATACAGGCAACCTGTGCAGACATTATA